CGGCCCCGCACTCACTAAGAACGAGGCCATGTCCGAGGCGGCTGCCCGCGGAAGCCGCCGCGCGGGGTGGGGCCGGACTCGCTCCCGAGTAGCTTCGGGGACGCTCGGGCCTTTCCGGCGCCGCGCCCGTTTAGGGGCTTCTCGGGTGTTTCCGCCTCCGCGGGCTCGGCCGGCGCGGCCGGCGCTCGGCAGTTTCCGGACGCACACGGGCGCAGGGGGCGGAGCAAGCCCTGCAGCCTGGGCAGGCCTGGGTGGGAGGGGGCAAGCGCCCGAGGCAGCCCCCTCCTCCTGGCCTAGTCTAGGCCTTCAGCCCCGGCTGTATGGGGTGGGAAGGTCTGCCACAGTGGGCTGTGCTGAGACCTGCTCAGCTCGCTGCATGCCAGGCCCTTCACTTGGCTTTTGCTGCTCTCCTGCTACCCTGCCCTGCTGGGTCCCCTCGAGTATATCGCTTCTTTTTCCCTCCTTTCACTTGGCTGGAAAATCTGCCATGAACCTCCTGCTTTAAAAAAACAGTCGTGACAGGTGCACGTTGGGTGGAAAGTAACTCCCGCTGTAACCTCCGTTAAGTGGTGTGTGTGCATCCTGCGCCTAAATTTCCCTCCAGACCTGGTGTCATTCAAAGGTGACTTTTTTTCTGCTCTGAAATTCTTCTTTTGCATCAGACATAAAGGAAGCAGCAGTTCGTGTGCAACTGTGACAGCGTTGCCTTTGCTATTAAGATCCTCTAGCTCCAAATTTATTACCTAGAGGTGTTTTCCCTTTTGTGTTAAAAGTTTAAATAAAATCTTTAAAAAAAAAAAAATCAGTGTTTTGGCAGAGGAGGGATTTCAAGGAAATGTTAACAAAAATGCCAACTCATGCCCACCGCAGCAGAATACAGAGAGTTAAATAATGCATCTGCTGGCTTCTGCTTTCATTAGCAGCTGTGAGGATGTGTAAGTGTTGAGTTAACTACAGCAGGGTGCTTCATATGGAGTAGGAAAATATAATAAGGATTTCAAGTTAAACAAAAAACTTGGTACCAAAGGGCTTTGGTTGCCAAACAATGCACCTCATTCACAGCAGGAAATTTACATAATGGAATTTCATAAAGGGACGATCTTGTGTGAATTGGCTTCAACTTTGCCAAGATTTTTTTTTTTCACTTTCTCAGTCTAGAAAAGAAGATGCTGCTGCTGACTGCTAATTTTTAAGATGAGGGGCATAACAGAGTGATTTTTTTTTTTTACAATAATAAACTAATTGAACCATCACATGCTGCGTATACCAGACCTGAGTACAAGCCTGATGGCTCTGCTGCATATTTCCTCCTTTTGTTCCCTCATTTCTTCCCTGTTGTTTGTCACTGGTACTGGTCAGAACTTGGATCTCAGTTCTCCATGGCAGGGAACACATTGCTTTGTATATAAGATGCGCTGTATGCTTTTGGATACCTTAGGAATGAAATAAAGCTGGGATTTTCAGAGATCTTAAGCCACGTGTGTGCCTGAGTGCCTTGGATTCCTGTGAATCCAAGTCCAAAATGATAGAGATCAGGGATGGCACCAGTCAGAGAATAGGTCTGCCCACTCCAGCTACCTGGCAGGAGAGGCTTTGGAAGTGTAGGTAACGGCATGGATGTTGGATGCTGGTATGTCCATGCAGAAATTTCTCTTTTCCTGCTTCTGTCTCCCTCACTTACTCCCGCTCTTTCCCTAGAAGGGAGCCCCAGGGCTTAACAGGAAAGTCAAACACAATTTGCTATGGTTCCTTGCCCCTGGGAGAGAGGGGTGGAGGGAAGAAGGAACTCTTCTGTCATGCAGAGAAGATTACAGCAGGGCTGTCCTACTGGGTGCCTGAACATCATGCCTGTATTCCACAATACAGAGAAAAGGACTCCAACAATCATCTTTAAATGGTAGCTTGCGAAGATGAGGGGGGCCAACAGCCAATGTTCCAGCTGGATTTGAGCAGCCAGACCACCCTGTGCTCTGAGAGCCACAGTGTCTATGAGCTTCATTGAAGAAGTAAAATAAGGCAGCAACTGAGATAGAGAAGCAGCACCTGTTCCATCTCTTACTTTAAACTAGGGATATCAAACTCACCCCCTTTATCCTCCACACCAGATCTAGACTGCTCTGCAGAGCTCCTCATGGGCTGGATCTGGACCTGGCAGTGGCTGGGTGGCAGCAGTGGGCTGGGCAGCGGTAGGGCAAATGGCAGAGGGACAAACAGCCCTGGGTCACCACTGTCCTTGTTCACCCCTCTGCTGCTGACAGCCGTGCTCAGTGGAGCCCTGTAGCCTTGAATTCTGCAACAGGCCTTGCTGCTGTAATTCCTAGCCCACTCAGAGCCCTGTGTAGACTTGTGTAGCCTACTGAGCAGTCCTCATGCAAGCATGGAAAAACAGCATGGGGCAGAGGCCCATCCAACTACCCCAAGCAATCCTGCTAGTGGGAGGTAGAAACAATTGACTGCCTCCTCTGGCACTGCCCATATGTCAACGAGGTGTGGAAGAGAGTTGGCGTACTCTACCTGGTGATGACAGGTCTCATAAAACTGACCAGAGAGGTGGTTCTGTACGGACACTTGACTAAGCAGCAAAGAGGCCCTGACAGTCCACTTCAACCAATTCAGCTTCAGAAATGCCTTTTGAAAGATCATGCAAAAATCTAGACCTCTTGGTTCCAAAATGATACCTTTTATTAGACCAACTGAGAAATTGCAAAAAAAAAAAAAAAAAGATCTCTTTTTCTGCAAACTTTAGGGCTCATGCACCCTTCATCAGGCTCAGGGAAAGTTCAAGATGGTAAAAAGTCCCCACATGTAGGAAAAAAAACTTTATTTTTGCACAGAGGAAGCAGAAGCTGGAAAACTGTCCCTCTGGGTCTATGAGTCTCTTTGTGAGCTTGCTCTGTTGTGTACATCAAGCAGGATTTCTTCCCTGGTGGTGTCAGATGGCAGGCAGGGAGGTGTAAAAATATTTTTTGTTGTGCAGCAAGGAGGGTAAGGAAGATCAGGAACTTGTTCAAAAACAGGCACACAAACATACCAATCAAGGACTGTATTAGAGTGTGCCTGAATGAGATGTAGTGCTACTACAGGAGAGATGGTAGAAGAGGATGGGAAAGAGATGGTGGACATAATATGGAAGAGAGGGGACTGGCATAGACTTTTCATAGGTGAGCCATCTGAAGACAGCAACAACAGTTTTGAGTGCTGTACTTCAAGAAGGATGTTGATAGACTTGAGAGGGTCCAGAGGAGGGCCACTCATATGGTTAGGGGCTTATCGGACAAGTCCTATGAGGAGAGGCTGAGGGACTTGGACCTCTTCAGCCTCCACAAGAGGAGGCTGAGAGGTGATCTTGTGGCTGCCTACAAATTAATTAGGGGGATGCAGCAAGGGATTGGAGACACTCTGTTCACCAGGGCGCCTCTTGGGGTAACAAGGAACAATGGTCACAAACTGACAGAAAGCAGATTTAGGCTAGACATCAGAAAAAACTTCTTCATGGTAGTCAAAATTTGAATGGTGGCCAAAATTTGGAATGGGCTTCCAAGGGAGGTAGTGCTCTCCCCTACTTTGGGGGTCTTTAAGAGAAGGCTGGATAGGCATCTGGCTGGGATCATCTGACCCCAGCACTCTTTCCTGCCTAGGCAGGGGGTCGGACTTGATGATCTGTTCATGTCCCTTCTGACCCTAGCATCTATGAATCTATGAAACAAGGATGATGACAATGACAATGATGAATACAACAAAAAACGAAAGGACTGAAAAACAGGAGGGGGATGTGAGAGTGGGGAGTGGACTGAGGTAGTCCTTTGCATAATTGTGATGGGTACATGGGAACATGGTGTGGTCTTTGCAACAGGACTAAGAATGATGTAACTGTAGGAGTGTGTTCTTGGACTGTCAAATGAACTATGGTGGTCACAAGACAGGTTGTTAGATGTACAGTTATATATCGATATCTATATCTATATATATTTTTTAAAAAGAGTCTTGTAGGCTGAAGGAAACAGCTCTGCAGGCTGGATCTGGCCCACAGGTCATATGTTTGACACCCCTGTCTTAAACAATGCTGTTATGTTCTGCATTCATGGCCCCGAAATCACAGCAGAATAACACTGGCAATATGACAATGTTTGCAGAAATTACTGTAGAATACTGTAGTATGTTCATAAGAGTCGAGTTGTCCCTTGAGGTCCTTTGTCTCACCGGCACTAAATCTTCATTTCCCCTTATAACTCCTTCTTTTTAAAAGCAAGTGGAGCTAATAGCGTATCTCTTAAGTCACAAGCCAAGCACATACACCTGAGTAGCTATTTAATTGCATTGTCAGCACCATGGAGTTGGATGAGCACATATTAAGTAACAGGGACATTTGTTACCATTCAATATAGGTCATTACATAGCACCCTAATGGTTTGACATGGGCTTTCCCAACCTCATGAAGATCTCATCATGTGGAACCTGGATGTTTTTTGTTTTATTGCCTAGATTCCTTAGGGAGCCAGCTGGATACATTTAATCCTTTCTGGGGTCTTGTTCATTACTCTATATTGTAGCTATTCCCCAGTCAGATATTAATGGACTCTGACATTAATGGTTAGTACATTTGGAACAAGCAAAATACTGTTTATGGCATGTGTATTCTGTCTACAGGCTTTGCTTGCTGAAAGTCATCAAATTAAACTTTGGGGCTGGGTTTGCTTGATAGATTTACACACTGCCTGCTGCCACATGTCCAGGTACTGGAAAGATTAAAAGCAATTCCAGTGCAGCCGAGCGTAATAATCCGTAGAAAAGCATCCATGTCAAAAGGAAACACAGGGGAGAATAAAAACCTTATGTGGAAAACTAGTGGAAAGGATCAATGAGGAACTGATCTGATCAGAAGTGCTGTAGCTCAAGTGAGACTTGTCAGGCCGTGCCAAAATAAGCACCTAATGCCAGCGCAACTTTCTAGCATACAACTAGCCTTAAAAGAAACCTTAAGAGTCATATATTACATGGACCATTGTGATCATCACCTACTCTGACTTGCATAACACAGGCCACAAGATTTGCTGAATTAATTTGTGTGTGTGAACAGTAGTGTATCTTTAGAAGGACATCCAGCCTTGATTTAAAAATTGCTAATGCTACAGGTATCCCCCACCCAACTCTTGATGAGTTGTTCCAGTAGTAAATCACCTTCCC